TTTGATTTGGTTCGGATGCCTGAGTAGGAAAGGAATTGACTTCTATGTCTAGGCCTCGAATAGTATTAAGAATAAATGGATCACGTGTTATAGATTCCCAAGCTCTGATGTGCTCTTTCAGTATGCCTGCATGTCGAATCGGTGTCGTGATAGGAGGATTCAGGTCTTGAATGTTATTTGATGCATTAGAAAAGAACTCACCTACCGTAGGTGAAGAATTATCCTTTACTGTCACAGTGTCTACTTGCTGCTCCTTCCCCCTCCTCTTTTTTCTGGAGGTTTGTTGCCCTGTCGGCTTTTGGACAAAAAATATCGTTCATTTCCATAGGAACCTCTTGGGCGTCTGAAGTAATTTCTGCCTCTGTTAAAAGTAGGTCCTTGTGATGGATAAGGTTGATACCTAAGTCTTTGGTTACGCCTGGTGTTTCTGCTAAGTTTACTAGCCGTGGAAGCATCCTGCATGGCCTTGGTCAAATTTTCGCCAAATAAATCGTCATAAGATACTGCTGAGTTTGCTGAGCATAGAGGTTTATATTCTTCAGGAAGATGAGGCTGCAGTTGGGATTTTCTTCTCAATATAGTTTCTCTTGTTGCATAGGCAGAAAGCGCTATGGCATCCCCCAATTTGTGAGTAATTATTGAGGCCAGATTAGAAGGTATGGACCGTTTCTCTTTAATCACAGCATCTAGGCATTCTGTAATGCAGATGGCAGATTTGATGATGCCTGTTTGAACTCTTTGTAGTTTGCAGTCAGCAGTGCGTACGTCTGAAGAGACTATGTCCCACATAATCCTGTTAATTTCCTGTGTTTTTAAAGACGGACAATTGGCCGGTTTTTTATACTTCTTAATTTTCTCTGTGATGGAATCTATGTCCTGTTTAGTTTTGTACGTAAACGAGTTCAATACTATGTCTGCTAAATGATCGTCAACCTTTGCTCCGACTTCTTCGTTAGTCAGGTTGGATCTTAGGTCTGAGACCACGTCGTATTCTTCAATCCTGTCACTTGTTTCTACATTTGCCGACTCGTCGTCGGAAAAAAGATTTTCAGCCAGCGAAGCACCTGGGTCCAAATCCGGTTCTCTGACCTTGACCTGAGAAGGTTCGACTATGTCTGAATCGCTTAAGTAATCAATGTTATAATAACTATCTTTTCCATCGCCGTCGATAAAGTCATTCACTTGACTCTCTAGCTTTGAAATGGAATTCTTCATATCGTTTTTCAGGTTACCAATAGTTGAGGCTAAACAGCGTACTTCGGAGAGGATCGCCGTTTTGAAATCATCCGACTCACTACATAAGGTTGTGGCTGAGTTATCTCCCGTACCAGAAGCAGATGATTTTGTTATCGGCTGAGAGTGAGACCCTTTGCTTAATGCGGGTGTGGAAGGCTGGCCGATATCCGTCTTGGCCGCTTTTGCACCCTTTCCTTTAGTGCCTGAGCTTTTACCTTTTTTAAAATTGTCATCTTTGATAATGACATTGGACTCGGAACCCTTGTGTTTCGGAGTTTCCTGATTTGCCTCCGCCAAGCGGAGTATAGCATCCGCCATGTTCGACTCTGTTAAGATGTCGAGTAAATCAAATAAGAACGAGGCTCTTTGGACTATTAAGTCGCAAGGCAGTGAACTGAAGCACAGTGGCGGGTAGAAAAAGTGAGAGGTGTTAAGAAACACGTCCGACCTGATCGATGTCTGCACGAGCTCTGATCTTGTCATGCGCACATGCTATCTCACGGAATCACGAATCACGTGATTGGCTGATAAAATTGATATCGCTAAGGATCAACAACACCGCCTAACGTCATAATGATGCTCTTAGAAAGTTGTAGACTTGTATTTGGCGAAATATTTTTGGAGATTTGTTTCTGGGGATCTTTATTTGCAGATTTGTAGTTACACATTTGTTGAGCTAGATTTGTATGTTGAAATTTGTTACATTATTAGTAGAAATTTACTGTTATGCAATTGCTATTACAGAAAATGTGGTTAATATAGATGACATTTTTAAATAGACAAATGTTGAATTCGTACTACAAAAGTTGGTTTTTCTAGACGTAGGGCTGTCTTAAACTAATAATTTAGATACACGTCGAAACGTTGCAAAAAACTTTAACCAGTGATTGTTGTTCCATAAAGCTGTGTCTATATATCGTACTCACAATTGCTAAATGCCATTCAAAGACTTTAATAATTTAGATATTGGCGAACAAATGTAAAATTTTGTATACAAATGTTAAATTTTGTAAAAAAAATGTTCAGTTAAGCCTACAAATGAAGAATTAAGAATTTATAAATTGAAAATGGGCATTAGCAATTAGGAAATAGCAATTAGGAAATAAGAACATTGAATTTTGAGCTGATTGGTCTTCCAGCTGAGTGCATTTTGACTGTGATATAACGCACATAACCCACACCCAATTCAGTCTGATGTATAACATTGTATAAATAATTTTGATTTAAATAAAAAGATTGTTGCTGTGCAGTACATACATCATTTAGGAGACAAAATTAAATTCAGCATAACAAGGTGAGTGAGCATAGGCCTTTAAAAAATTGGATTTTTTAACCTGCGTCTTTCATTTTTCCGAGTTGATTGTATTTTGTCGTCTGTGATATAACGCACATAACCCACACCCAATTCATCTTGATGTATAACATTGTATAACAAATTTAACAAAATTGTTATATTGTGTTTCCGTTAAGTTTAAAGGGACACTCTAATTCATTAAGTTTATAAAAGGGCAACATACTTAATTTTCGTCTTAAACGACATTATACTGGTAGCAAAGATTACGAACGCAGTCCTATTCCCCTAAATAACTTCAAAACGAACTTACACTTCCGATAAAAAGAAGAATCAGGAAAATAATAATTGACATGAGGTTATTTAAAAACAAGAAGGGGTCACATTAATTTTTCATTATTTCGAAAATGATTTTTCGGCCTGATTAACATGCTTAAGGCTAGCGCACACGATTTCATTCGTGCCTCTCAGCTCAGCTTGTAGCTCTCGTGTGCGCGGAGTTTACGTAAGGTTTTTTTCATTCGAGGCATTAAGGAAATTATCTGTCGTGTTTGATAATTTTTTCTTCGAATGAAAAATACCTTACCGTGTGCGCACTCGAAAGCTCTTAGCTTTCAACTTTGAACTGGGGGCGCATGCGCTAGCACGTGATAAAAACAAAGAAATGGGCTGCGCCCATCGGTGAATGCGAGTTTGTATCTGAAGCAATTATCGAAGACAAGTTGATCTTGGCGTCTTTGAATCCATCGGCGTATAAATAGCTTACGAGAGCTTGCAAGTATTCTTCGTCGACGACGACGCAACAACAAAAGAAGTAAAATTTCTTCATATTCTGAATCATTCGAAGGGTTGTCGACGTCCGACATTTTGTTTAAGTCACGTGAGAATGTCACGTGATCTAGTTATTTTTAGACGTCTAATATGAATGAAGGCATGGCCTTGAATGAGAGCGCAGGTTATTGATAAAATAACAATAATTAATAATAATTAAATAAAAGAAATTCAACCCGATCTGTATGTTATGCAAACTACTTTGTCTTCTAATCATATGTGTGAAAGTAATCTTCTATGAATAAAAGGTCTGTAGGCAATCTTTTATATAAGATATCTAGAGAAAGTCTTTGGAAATTAGGTCAAAGCTGTCATTTTATTCCTTATGACGCATAGAATATCCAGGAAAAATACGAAGTTGGTCTATTGCAATTACATTGATGTAAATACTTTTCTGCATCTCTAAATGCAAATATCTAAAAGTGAGAATGGTATTTTAACGGACATGTCAAACTCAGGAATTTTATCTATACTGACATCTCATTAACCAACTTAAATTTGGTACCACAATGTTAAACGAATAGAATTTTACATAGACATGTTGTATATCACTGGAAAGCTCAGAATCTCTGCATTGTGAAATCGAAAGACTTATTGCTATATCACTATTAGGCTACGAGATACAGCACTGCAAAGGTTCAAAATGGACCATTTTTAAACCCCTATAAAATAGTTGTCTGACCCCAAAGGTCAAAGGTCATCAGATAGACAAGGTCACAAATTATCATCATAGTAAATATGAAGGTCACCAAAGGTCAAGGTCATCAGATATACGCCTTCAAACTTTGAAAAAAAAATATCCGGTCGTACAAAAAAGGCTAAACCGAAAATCAAAATTCTGTCCTCAACAAATTTTAGATAAACGTTAATTCTATCATTTGACACCAAAATTGTTCAAATTGGATAATAAATATCTCCAAAATAGCAAGTTTTGCATATTGAGGAAAACCAATTATGGCGACCTATATGTTACTTCCGGTACGAATTTTCTTAGTTATAACACTTTGTATTAGTGACACTAAGCTTATGCATATGTCATTTCTTACATAACTCAATTTCACCGGAAGTGATGCCACCGGAAGTACTTATATCGAAACCGGAAGTGATAAACATTTTTTGACAATGCAGAATTATTTGCCCATACCGACGGTCTACGCCATAAAAATTTCAAATCGATCTGTCAAAAACCAACTGAAATAGCATTTTTCGATTAATTTCGACAAAAAAAGTATCGAACGAATTTTGGAAAATCGAATATTTGCAACTGCTATCATTTGTCCTTTGTACTAAGAATTATAATAAAGGAAACCCGAGCAAAATCGAACGATAAATACGCCCTCTACAGTCCATTTCCGGTTTTTTGCTATCTTACTTCCGGTTGCGCAGAACATTTTTGTTTTACATTTAATACGTGAATAGCCACGAGTTAGAAAACTTCATGAAGTCTGTTTTGTCGTACCTATTTCTGGTTCCGAGAAATAAGCTCCCTAGCTGACGAAAAAAAAAATAATCGTTACGAAAACAAAGCAGGGCGTTCGAAGATCTACGTTCGAAGAACGCCCTGCAATAAAAATAAAAGTAAGGGTTGTTAAGTTGGTACAAAACGTCCCTTTTTGTGTTCGTAATTTATTAAAGAATTCCAGAATATTCACTCCGAACTACTCCGATTGACTGCGATCTAGCAGATCCGCCATCTTTTTTCTCACTTTTTTTTTGACTACCCGTGGGGCATAAATTTTCTGAAACGAATTGAGGTATATGTATGTGTTACCATTATAGAGAGCTTCGCTCTCATATGACTGGACACGAAAGCTCCAAGCTGAGCTGGGAGACACGATTGAAATTTTTGCCCAGCTGGGAGCTCTCGTGTGCGCTAGCCTTTAGAATCCATTGCAAAATAGTTTGAGGTCGTTTCCTGATCGTTTTTCTGCTCGATTCCAGGTCGTTTCGCGTTTTCATTGGTCGTTTCTGGTTGTTTCTGGTCGGTTCATGTTATAGTAAGTACGCTCCTTATCAAACTTTTAAGATATGCATGCACAGCACTTTAAGCTGTTCCTTCGGCCACGATTCGGAGAGACGCTTCTCATTTTAGCAGCTCCTCCGTCCCTTCGCCTCTTATCTCTCATGCATACTCTAGATACGCAACTGGGTCGATTGCTCCAAATCTGTCGATTTGCCTTCTCGACCGAAAATTTTTAACTTCCGGTTGGTATAGAATACTTGCGCAATTATACATCTCTGTAAGGTGAAATGGTAGGGAATTTCGACGAATCACAGCATATTTTTTGTATTACATTGCTTTATTGTTTCAAAAGATTAAGTTGTTGTGGTTAGTTAAAGGATATTTATGCCAACTTTAAACTAAAAATGTGTACCATAACTCAATAACTGTGTGCCCCGTGCTTTCAAAATCGCATTTTGTCAGTAGTGTAACCTATTTTCGTGGATATAAGGATTCATCACCGAATTTCGTCATAGTTAAAAAAACGAATTTTTTTATTATGCCTTAGATGTTTCCTCAGATATTGTACAAAATGATTAAAATTGGTTTATTTCGATTTTCTTTATGAATCCTTCACTGTGACCTATATTTCATGAGCAACCAGCTCGGCAATGGCGGCAGAATGCGTCATCTATTTTCGTGTACAATGTTTGATCTATAAATAAGTCTAGAAAAACACGTTGTATGGATACCCAGTGGTATAATTAACTTCTCTTAGTATTTATCTTTAATATCAATTCATTATAACTAGTGACAATTCCTTCCTTCCTAATGCGGAGGTTGTGCAATTATCGTGTAAATAA